TTGATTTTCAGCCTAGTTCATCTGTATCAATGATTTGCAGGTCCTGTGGCCATCTGTGAGCCCCTGGCCTGGTACACTGAGTAATGCCAGTCTTTCAATATTAAAGCAGTATGCTACAATGCTCAACATCCCTCCACAGTCAGTCATTCTCTCATGGTGGAAAGTAACTTCAAGACTAAGTATTGTGGACCAGTCTTTTCTTTTACAACTTTTGGCCATTCTGCAAAGACATATTGCAGAGGGAAATTACTCAGATGAAGAAATGCAGGTAACTGATAACTCGCATTTATCTATTCTGATATCTATTCATATTCATAGACTGGAAAGGCAAATTTAATTTTTTTGCACTAAAGATTGTAATCATTCAAGTGCCTTCTTTATAGGTATCATTTGGGGGGCATTCCTTCACTGGGGCCCTGGGTAGTGGTGAAATATTGCCCCTCCTTTTAGCTACACCACTGAGAGGGGCATAAATATGAGAAGATTTCACTGGACATGATATATATTTCATACTCTTATAATTTTTCATGAATTGATTGAATATCAGCTGCTTCACTTATTTTTCGATTGCATATCTTGCTCCTTTCATTTTTGCATTGTCTTAATTAAAGAATAAACAAAGTAGAAAATTAGATCAATGAAAGATGTATTTAAGTTTTAACAACTAAGGTGAAAAGATATATGAAATTTGTGAATATGTGAATATTTTAATGAAGTTTTGAATTATTTAACAAAAAAAAAGTTGAATATAGGCTAAGCTATTTTCATCTGATTTATTCTGTTTCATGGCATGCCCTTTTGTACATGTTACAGTATTAGGAAACTAGATTTATTTTTTATTTTGGTTATTTATTTTTTTTTTTTAATTTATTTATTTATTTATTATTATTAATTTTTTTTACCTTTTTCACCTTTTTCTAATTGTCTCCCAAATGATAGGAAGTACGAAGCACGTTGCGAATCTGGGCTTCCCTTCAGGAGGAAAAGCTGGTATATCTTAACAACAATTATCCTGCAACGTCTAGAGTTATATCTTATCAGCAGCTCACCCACACTCTTCGGTTAGTTACATTCAGTTTAGAAGTATTTTACTGAGCGGTGTGTGATTATTACTTTCATTTGAAAGGTAATTGATCTTGTTTGGAATATGATTATTTCTTGATGTATGTATAATGAGAATAATGCAGTGTGTATACTTTAAGAACTATGTATATCTATATCTATATCTATATCTATATACAAGTATACATGAATAAATACATACATACATGCATACATGCATGCATATAAGCATATGTATATACATACAGACAAGCATGCATGCATACATACAAACAAGGATACCTACATACAGATATACCTAAATACATGTATAGGAGCATATATAAGCATTTTTATATATGAACAAGTGTGTGTATATATTTATTTATTTATTTAATTATTTTATTAATTATTAATTAATTATTATTTATTTATTTATTTATTTATTTATTTATTTATTTATTTATTTATTTATTTAATTAATTAATTAATTAATTATTTAATTAATTAATTAATTAATTAATTATTAATTAATTAATTAATTATGCCTTTTTTGCAGAGGCCTGAAAGCAGTAGATTCCAAACCAGAAACAAGATCTCTCCAAATATTTCCACAAGACATGTCTGTAGTAGAACTAGTGTCCAATGCTTTGACGACTTTTACAAAGAACTGGTAAGTTAGTTAGTTAGTTAGATTTTTTTTTTAACAGAAAACGTGAAAGTACATAAACTATTCTTCCTATCAGAAAAAGACTAGTTTATTTGTTGTGCTTTGAACTGTTTTCACCCATCTTAGCTTTATTCAATTCTTAACCCAATGTATGTATATGTCATGCCCACTGTGAGTTTAGTTTATCAACTCATTGGATCCTGAAGCTTCACTGCCATCATGTGGCCCAAAGTACGGTCATTAGGCCTCGGTGAGTGCACACTTTGCTGGTCGTATGGCTTGTATGAGCAAACGGACACTCGTGTGTGATGATAAGACTCTATGCCTCCTCTTTGCAATGTTATTTTGTCTTTTTTGACAGAAGCATTTGTAACTTTTTTGCCATTTGACATTGTCTATGTTTGTCATTTGATTTCCTTCATTCAGATAGTAATAGACTGTTCCATGCACACACTTCATCTCATCTCTCTAGGTAGTCTGTAGCTGCAATGATAATAATAATGAGTAACATTTTGTTATTTTTGTCATTGTAAAGTTTTTTTTTTATGATCAATTTTCTGTAACAAAACCTGTGCTAATGGTCAAGGTGGACAGGAATAGGATGCTGAAAATGGAAATTGTGTCCTCCCTGGTGCCAGTGTGAGAGAATATTGACCTCTATGCTTATCAAGATATGTGCTATTAATTTTATCATTATCCTCTATGGTTTCAACTAATATGAAATTTTTCAATTCCTCATTTTTATCTTGGGTGACCTCTCCATTGAGTGGGTCCATTCTCTATTATAGTAAAGTGACACATTCTATATTCATTATTGAACAAAAATAATGCAAAAACCACTCCCGAAATGCCAAATGAGTCTAATCACTCTTCAAGAGTCTCTCCTGTCACCCTGGCCTTCAGTTGAAATGCTTACAGTGGCATGTTCAGGTCACCTTGGCCACAGCCAAAATTTTCCATGACGGTATGTTCATGTCAACTGTCTTTCAAGCTAAATTTTTTGTGACGTGATGGTCATGTCATCTGGATCTGATGGGTTAATTGTATTTACACGTAAAGAGGTCCACAAGTGTTTGGTCACCAATGAGTCAAATCCTAATTCAACTTGTCTCACATGTTTACCCTTTTCTTTGATTTTTGGAAATACTTTATTATATTTTATTTTGTTGATTGCACTAATAGTGTCAGTAATATTAATAACAACACTAATATTAAAAGGATAAAAAAAGAGATCCTGAAAACTCAAGGAAAGATAAAACAGTTGCGGTGACATCTACGTGTAGTTATATTTCAAAAATGATACTCAGTGGACATTACATTTTCCTGGTGGTATTAGGTTAATGATGAAGGATGCAACATGAGAAAAATGTATTATACATGTAAATTACAGTTTGTACTTTTTCATGATTATATCATCACTTATTTACTTTGGTTATTTTCAGCTGTAATGAAAAATTATGAAACTACAGCTTCACACTGTATGCTTAGAACTTGATTTCCTTCATTTAAAGGTGGGAAAATGCTATTAGAAATCGTGGTCGGAACTCTCCAGATGCTAGTGAAGAACAGCAGTTGGTTGCTGCAGTTGCTGTTTCGCAGGAAATCATTTCTTTCTTAAGAGATGTTTGCGATTTCTATCAAGATGTATTCATCAGGTAAATTATTATATTTCATGTGTCAAATTTCTTAGGCTTGTAAATAAAACCTGATCTTTGTTTTTAGAGGCTTTTGAAGATTTCTCATTTTTTTATTGTAATGTTATTATTCTTTACTTTACAGAGAATCTCAAGTGTCCTTCCTCAGACTTACCTACGCTCTCCTCACCTATGAGCTGTCTGCTCGTGTAAGGCCCTTGATGATAAAGCTGTACAAGCCCAAAGGAGACAGCCAGTTTAGCTGTGATGCAAATGAAATAAATGACACAGCAGAAACCAATTCTTCCACAGCTTTACAGGTTTCAAATCCTGTTTGGCAACTGTACAAGAGGCTGGAGATCATTGTGGAGTAAGATTTTGACTTTTTGATGTAAATAGTAGCATAGTCAACTTGGAGATTTTTGTATATAGGTATATTTTTTGCCATTATTTGATCATGTTGAAAGGTAAATGACAATTATGTTTTCATTAGTAGGATTGTGAATGGACACCAGATTTCAGAATCCATTATTGTGTCCTGTTTTCATAAATGCTACATTTCTTAGAAAAAGAGAGAAAAAAATGGAAATAAGATAAAGAATGTATTGGCAAATCAGTGCTTTGTGGCATTGCTGCCACATTGATGGAGTCTTACATTTTGAAGCCATTTTGCAGTGGATAGGAAAACTTTACATGAAAAGAGGAAGTCATCTCCTCTTTTGTAACCAGTACACTGACTATGGAGATTCCCTTACATCTCAACCTTGGCTTCCTTTCTCTTTCTCAGAATTGGTGAGAACCTTCCTGAAGAGGTTCAATTACAGTCAGATTTACATGGGTACCACCAGTGGTTTGTTGGTGGTGTGATCAGGTGGCAGGAACATGTCTTTCGGGAGTCCAGGAGCATGATAGCGAAAGAAGTACAAAAGGATGAGTTCCAGTCAAATGCGAAAAGCTATGGATCAGCATCCATCAGCTCCTCAGCTATGGAGTTGACATATGTGTTTCGTATTGTGAGTAAAAGGGTCTTACTTTTGTTTGCAAGATCATTGATTTATTTAAATTGTATTGATATGCATGTAAAACCTGTAATTACACATAGATTCTTCATCTTCCTTTATATACTTCCCTTCTTGCTCATTTGCTTTCCCTCAGGGTGTGGGGGGGTGATAATTTAGGGGTCAAATGAAGTTAGCTAGTGTATTGTATAGATACAAGAAAGAGGAACCTACTAAACGACTATTAAATCCCAGCTCTGGTTATTTACTGGGCAATGCCCATGAGAACCGCCAACATGCTGGGAGGTACACTGCTAATATGCGCCCGGGTACACCTGTGTGGACTTTTGCTAGTTGCAATCTTGCATAGGGCATTTGATAATGACATTGCACATAGATATGAGTTCGTGAATGTTCAAAGAACACTTTTATGCCAATATCAGGAAAAAATTGTATCACAACGATTTATGTCAAAATATTTTGTGAAATCTATCTATAAAAAAATGCAAGCTTTGTGTACTTTTACACATGAAATATACCTTCCATCGGGACTTCCTGGTAATGTGTTGTAGCTTACGAAGGAATCTGTATGTATACCAAGTATGAAACACTAATGTTTGAAAATAGCCATATAAATAATGATTAAAATATTTCAGTTTGACTTTGCCCGAGCGTTGGTATTTTCCAGCATTGGTAAACTTGATTTGATTTGAAATTGGTCATTTCTTCTGTAAAGAGCACTTCAATATGAAGGCCACCTGATAGTTGGATCTTTGAACTTTGGAGATATAAGGGAGATACCGATTATTTCATGTTGAAATTGATAGTACACGGTAATACCTGCTCTGAGATAAAAACTGTATGGAATTTTGAACTTGTTTTTATGCACAGTCTTCATCTAGAGTTGAAACAGCTATCCCATCCTTTTTGTGTGTTTTCGTTAAAAAATATATTACGTGTAGAAGTTACCATAGGTCTTAGGTACCATAAATACGCAAATATCCAACCACACCAAGGTTTCTGATGATTTTATGCCCTTCTTAGCAAAGATAATAAGTACAAATGACTAATCACCAACTCTATACTAGTTTCCTGTTGTAAACTGTTACTTTTGAAAATTGTCAAAACGATTTGATAGGGATAACTAATATATTTTATTCCTTTACATGAAAAGTTAATATAAGCCTACTAAATGAGGATGATTAACATGGTTAACCTTATGCATGTGTTTACATACATATGATCCTCCTTGAAAATTATAACCACCCAATGACCGTCTTCCCCTTCCCCCGCTGCCCTGAGTGGAGCATGGGAAAAAATCAACTTCTCTGATAAGTCTTGAATTCCAAGGACTTCATACATATGCTTTTAAAATTCTCAAAATTGAATCGCCATGTTGTATTCATGTTAGGACTTTATAACTAGAATGATTTTGTGCTGATATTGCCATCCACAGTTTTCCATTTCTTCAAAATCAAATGTTCAAAAAGAGAAAAAGTCTGATTTAGATTAGTTGTCTATGATTTATTGCATTTATTAAACTTTTCATACAGAAATATCTACTTTGATATTGGAAAAAAAAAGAAAAAAAGACATACCTTTACAGAAAATAGTCCTTATTGAAAATGTTAATTCTGATTGACTTGGTAATCATTGCATTGCAAAGTACAGTATATAAGCTTATTTTGATATGTAACATCATTAAATTTAGTGAAAAATAACAGTGATAACGAACTTTGGCAATTGTCTAAAATTCCCAATTTTTTTTTCTACAAATTTCTTTTACACAGACTTTGGTACATATCAGTGGTCATAATTTTTGTGCGATTCAAACGTTGGTTTGTTGCTTTTGCTTGCGCATCGGAATCCTAAAGCCATTTAGATAGCCGAATTTTGAATTTTGGAATAAAAAATATATACAATTATGTAAAACAAAAACAAAAACAAAAAGTGGTCTCTGTGACAATCAATCCTTCCCCCCAAGAAAAGGAAATAAAAAAAATGGCTTTCTGAGGGATGTTCCCCTTAAGATTCTTATCCTTTTTTTTTTTTTCTTTTTTTTTTTTTACTTTTTCTCATCCTAACTGATGTTTTCTCTTCTCTCTTTTTCTTCCTATTTCTTTTTCATCTTTGTAATATTAGGTATTCTTTGAAATAAAATATTATCGAAAATTCCTGTGTGCAAAACTTTTGGGTTTGGAAAAGGGTCTACAGAAATATTGGTAACTTCATGCACTAGACACCAGTTATTGAATTTCTTGTTTAATACTTAATTTTACCTGTTATTTTTGTATCTTGTATTATCTTCTATTATCAGTTATTCATATATCCAGTATAGTGTGTTCTATTATCAGTTGCTTGTATCCATTAGCATGTTCATGACTATTATCAGGCATCCATGTAACTGACTGAATGATATATGGCAATATCTACAGGTGACAACATACTGGCAGAAGCTAGCTTGGCCAGATGAAGCCGAGGGGAATGGTATAGCAAAACAGCTTATGCAACAGTGCTGTTCTTTAGGGTTGCTCTACACAAAATTGGTCATCTCAAAGCTGGAAGTAATTCTCCAAGAAAAGACAGACCCCAAAGTTTTGCTGCTTTCAGCTGAGGTGAGTCTTGTGGTGAGAAATAAGATGGAAAGTGACTGACTTTGATGAAGATTGAATATGCGGGAGACTTGGCATCACCAAAAGGGTTAAGGATTGTTTATATAAAAAACAAAGCCAAGTTGTTGGAGAAGTGTTTTAGAATATAGTAGGTTAGTTTAGTTTACTGGAATATGATTGAACCCTTGCACGGCCAAGTAGAAATAGTCGCAATAAAAGTCATAGGAATAGATGTTCATTGTTGATATAAATTGTTTCTTTAACTGATGGCCAGATGTGTGAGTAAAGTATGACTGTTCATATTAAAGAACTTTTTGGCAAGAGGAGTGGTATTAAAGTCTGTTCAACTAAGCAAGCATGTTGAAGTTTGAATGCTATGTAAACTGCAGTTCTTTGTTCATGCCCTGCTGCCCATCAGCAAAAATATCAAATTTTCAGCGTCTCAAACCTCATTTAAAAAAAAATGTTCATAGAACTTGAATTTCCACAATAGAACATGCATGTCTCTTGCTAGTGTGTTATGAATAGGTTACAACAATGCCCAGTACCACTTGTATGATTGCCTCAGGCAAACAAGGGAGTGTGAAACCTGAAGGAGAATAGAGGTGTATGTTGGGGGTTTTACTTGCCATACATTACAATAAATCTTATTTTATCTTTTCTAAATTCATTCCTTTATGAAGTGATGGTATGAGTAGCTCAGTTAGATAAAGTGACTAAAGGGCACAGGGGAATAGGGAAGGTTTCAGGAGGTGTAACTGGATGAAGGTTGCCAAGCAGTACCAAAATTTCTAATACTCCCTACCTCCCGTTAATTCATGTTTATTATACTTTGTCAGCAGCAAAACTGTGTTCAATAAGTACTAATGTATGACAGTTTTTTTGTATCCTTGGAATGCACTTAATATACAGTATTTTAAAATCCATCTATGTTAAATACATTCCACATATTGCAGACATGCAGAGCTCTAAACAACATTGAGTATGTGTGTGAAGAGATTCAAGAGCTCCCTGGACACTTTGGCCTTGCAATAGAAAACGAGAAGTATCCTGTCATCACCAACACAACATTAAAGATGGAAACATCTATTAAGAAATTCATAGATACTGTTATTAAGAAGGTGAGTTTTCAAATTTTGTGAAATTTGTCTTTCTCTTGTAGCAATATCTTTTTTTGTGATATACCACAAACTTGGCCTGAAGTTTATCATTATTTTTAACTCTGAGATACTAATTTCTTATTGGATGATATTTATGTGTCATCATGATAATAATGATATTAATCTTTTAAGATGGTTTAACCAAATTTTTGAAAAAAGTCAATTGATACTTTGCAGAAAAATGCATCATGCTTTGATTTATCATTCCAGTTGCGGCAGACCCTGAACCAAGCAGTTATGGAGTCATGTGAAATGGTTAATGAAACACCTTTACTGAAGAAAGTTTTGGATCAGTACCTGTCTCTTCTTGATAACTGTTTAACCCGGCCAAATTTCGAGAGATTTTTGCGCAAGATCTGGAATGTTCTTGTTGCCATCTTTGTTAGCCTTGTTGAAAGCAACTGTGATGTAAGTGATACATCTAAAAATTGCAGTTGAAAAGTGACATTTTATCCTCTGTACTGAAACTATAGAGTGATTCACGGACATATTAATAAAATGAGAGTAAGATAACATACAAACAGGACTAATATCATTCTTCACTACTTTTTTGTAGTATTTTAAAATTACTGTAACAAGCAGCATTGACAAATAGTTGAACAGAGAAAGGAAAGCAGTCTTCATTATAGGGCAGTATGAAACTGATGTTAGAAAACATCTTTTTCCCCCACAGAAGAAAAATGCAGAGTTCTTCAGCGGTGTCTTCACCATCCTTGAGCGCACATGGCATTTCTTCACCCACTCTCCAACCAATTCCAAAGGACTTGATCCACAGCTGGCACACACGATGGGTAAGTAGAACAGATGCTGTTTATTACCTAGAGTAAATATCCAATTTACTTTGAGTGCTTCATTGATGTTCTATATTTATGGGATTTATTGGGCAATTTCTGTCTCTGTGTCTCAATTTCTGAGTCTCTCTTTGTCTCTTTTTCCTGTGTCTGCCTCCCTGAAGCACTCTTTGAGTCTGTCTCTCTCCGTCCCTCTGTTTTTGTCCTTTTCTCTCTCTTTCCCCCCCTCTTTTCCTGCACATCTGGATGCCTGTAAGACCTGATCAATTTTTGCTTTCAGAATACCAGAACTTGTTGGATACCCTGGGCAACTTGAAGATGCCGACAGAATCTCTCGTTGCTAAGTACTACAGAGAAAGGTTTGAAGAGCAGAGTCAACCTGGAGCTAGTCTGACTGCTCGACTTGTAGTTTTGGTGAGGGAGAGGACAGACTTTAAAAGTTTTTATGTTGGTTTTACTTTTAAAGCAATCAATTTAATTTGATTCTGATATCCGTTTAAGAATAAACCTTGATGTGAGGATTTTTTTTTTCTTTCAGTATTTAGTTTTAATTTCAATGTAAAGTTTTGATGTTGAGGTTTGTTTTTGATAGCTAGGCCATGGATGAAGGTTTCCAATAGAAATAGTCAATTGGTGAACTTTAATATGTATTTAACAATGTAATCTGTATTAAACAAACAAATTACTAAAAGAATAAACAGAATCATGGCAGGAATGAAAAAAAAGATAGAACCAATTGACTATCTATTCTCTCTTTGATTGATGTAAATGTGCTGATGTCAGTATATCCTGCATTTTGCTGCAGGTTTTGATACGTGGTCAAAGTATATTTATTACTTCATTGGATACATTTATATACTCGAATTGTATATATCCTTTTCTTTCTTCTTTTTCAATGCCTTTTTCTTCTTTTCCAGGCATACTTCACCACAACTGGTAACCTGACAGTTGAAGTCATCATGGCTAATGATATAGTGAAACCTAAAAACTATCATGAACCTACACCTGTCCTCCCTCTCATGTCCTCAGGAAAGTCACCAGATACATATGTTCAGGTGAAACTTGTGCCTGGTGAATGGTTCCCGAATGTCAGGAATCAAAAAACCAAGATACAGAAGAAGAGTGAAGCACCAGTATATAAGGAATCATTTGAATTGTAATTGACCTGATTAGCTTTAGTGTGCATTTACTAGATTTAAAAGTTATCTAAATATAATGTGTCATAAGGAGTTTTAAAAAGGATGGTTTTATATGAGTGTATTTGAAACAGTCTGAATTTATGTGATTCTTTGCCATGTTTTCTCTATATTATGTCTGCTTTATACTTTTTTTGTGCTAGAAAATAGATTGTTTTTCAATATTGTTATATCATCCATAATCTACATTTCAATAAATGAATACAAAGAAATATATATTTCCGACAATACTGTAAAAAAAAGGTAAAAAATACCTTTGTTACAAAATCCTTGGTTCAGTGCCTTCCTCTATAAGCTTGCGATACAATCAGCATAGGTTAGATAATACTCAAACCAGACTATGTTGCACTTATTGACCAATGCATTTTATTGCCTCCACAGCCTCATAAGCCACACTGACACCGGAACAAAGTCAGGCGGCCACCTCCTCTTTGTGCTGAAGATGTCACATCGTGTCCAAGCTGATTGTATACTAGGGGAAGCTGTTTTGCCACTTGAAGAGCTGCCCTGTGTGGAGCCATCAGCCATGAGAAGTGTCACTACCAAGTACTTAACTGTGAATCTAGCTAGAGAAGATAATGGTAAGAGTGCAAGTTTACTGTTGTTATTACAGCTCTATTATCAGAATATTGGATTCTTTCTTTGCAATGAAATTATGAAATAGTATTAAAGATCTCCCTATAAACAATTTGCATTTTGTTCATAATATGCAATGAAAATTACAACTGAAATTATTAATACATTTTTATGCATATTTTGGGGATGAGTACATAGCATTTAAAAATGGTTTTGATAATGAAATTTAAAATTACAATTTCCTATCCTATTTTCCTCAGTTGCTTTTGACATTTTTAATTTATTATCCAAATGTATTTTATTTTTATTCTTAGAATACACCGCTTTAAAGGCATTGCAGTACAGAATCTGGGATAAGAAAGCAGTGTCGTTTCTCAAAGAGGGAAAGAAGAAGAGAAAAATCAAGTTGCAGCTGGACTTGTAATAAAGTGGGTGAATAGAACTACTTGTTTATTAGTTGACTACTTTATTTATTAATTGAGTTTTTTTTTATGGTTTTGTTGTGGAAGTAAACCTCTCTGTGTATTGGAAAGTCTTCTTAAACTAGTCAGTAAGTAATCACTATTAAAGTAATCAGTAAACAGAAATCTCAACATTATCTTCTTCAAAAATATCTAAGAAGTAATTACAGGGGGCAGTATAATGCAAGTGTACTTTCTGAGATTTATGTACAAAAATAGGTACTTTTACAATTGGGTAAATACGATTTAACAAAAAAGCATAGATACATACCTCTAAATGAGTGCTTATCGGCTTATATTGAAATTTAGGTAATTGTGTTTATTTTTATGCAGGTGATTGATGAACCCTTGGCTTTTTCAGGCTGATGCACAATATACCTTGGGATCAGGATTTCAGTTGGAGCAATATATGATGGACCTCATGGTATCCATACATATTCATGATAAACGGGTTGATAGGGATTTTGCTTGTGTAGGAAATATTTTGATCTGTGGTTGTTTGATAAAAATTCATTCTTCCATTCCTCAAAATGTTAAATAGCAGTTAACTTAATCACTCATCAATGCATATTCCAGTTGTACTGTGATGCCAGTTGTAGTTATAGTGGTGCTGTAACTAACTTACATATTCAGGTATACTAAGTGCTTGGTTAAAAAAGTATATTACAGTATTTTGATAATAAATCCTGTGAAAAGTGCTACATTTTTTCCCAGCAAGTTAAAAAAGTTATAATGTAATCTTGTAATGTAATGTAGTGTGTACTTTTTATGAGGAAAGAGGTACGAGTTGATGTTTCATGCTGTCAAGGGTTATCATTCTTCACAGTACTTTACCAAAGAATGTTATTGACTTTGCCACATCAAATGTGACTTATGTTAATAGGTTGTCCAGCTTGTAAAGCATCTTTTTGTGATATTATATTAAGTTCCAAACAGTAAGAAAATACATTGATAAATTGGATTTTTGAAACATGGCTGAGCAAAGTGATAAATAGGTATTTGTTTCACCAAAATGCTTACTGAAAAGTAGGGAAAAGGGACTTTTATTACTTGCCCTGTTGTGCATTCTATAATGGGGGGACAATATTGCTATATATTGCTCTTATAGCTACATTTTGTAACATTTCTAATACTTGTAATATTGAATTATTTGTGATTTATAAACAATGCAATACACACCAAACAGAATGATAAACCTTACTTAGGTAAAAGATTTAATGATTAAAAAAATAAATGACTATCTTGTTAAAAAGAACTTTTATAACAATTTTGTAAGTTCTACATTAAATGATGTAGCAAAACTGGTGCTACTTAGTCATCATTTCTGCCAATTAGAAACTGTTGTGCAACACTTTGTTTTGACCCTGGCTCCATTTCCAGAAACAAATTCGCCACACAAATGGGTGTGTAGAGAGCTACTAGTTTTGTTTTAGAAATGGAAAGGAATGGCAAGTGTATATTTGATGCTACAGTATGTCAATGATAGTGTACTGTATGAACTTTTATATCAGAAGATATATTAGTTCTTTAGATTATTTTTCATATAATGACATATAAGAAATACATTTTAAGGGTATGAATAGAGATTTTAAAGATTATTTATACTTTAACTTTGTGCATCATCAGGCCACCAAAAATGTCATATGATGCATATGAGTATTTTTATTCTTTATAATGTGATATCACATAATCAAAGACTGATTCAACAATAAAATGAGACTTGCCAACTTCAGTATTGTTCTCAAGAATAAGAGTCAAATTTTTAGCAACAGTACAGCAACAGCACTTGTAGTGTGGCTGTTGCGACAGACTTTTCAGTGTTGTGAATGAAGACCAGGAACACCTAAAAGTGTCTTTACAACAGTTTTTGGGTGATGGAAATGAGGCTTCATGTTTCGCACGTTCCATTCCACACCATTATCAGTTCACCATGGTACCTCAGAATTCATAATCATACATACTTGATAAGCCAATTTGTGGATAAATCATCATGAAGGCTGTATATACACTTAGTGTTAGAGTGATATAATATATGAATAACATATGTGATAGTATTTTTTCAGTTAATTCAATAAATAGTAGTAAGATAATGTAATGGGGTTGTTTCTGTATATAATATTAAATGAGGATTAGATATAAACTGTATCTCTATGTAACAAGTAATGTGATATGTTACTGTGCAGTTTGGATGTATATATTATGTATATACACTACTATGTCACATAATCTGTATTATATGGTTATTAAGCTTTAATTCACATATGGATTTAAATTGATATTTGAAATAGTTATTTTGGGAATTACTGAAGTAAAAGATGTATTATATTTTTTATTATTATTTAACATTGAAAACACAAAACAAAATAGCATATATCTGCTGTAGGAAGTTCAGAGCTACATATCAAAATTACTGAGCATGTATCTTGTCTTGAATAATTGTTTTCTGGAACTTAAATTTTTTGTAGTGTATTTCTCTCATGGGGATTGCAGTTCTTATGATGAAAAAAAGAAGGGTAAGTTTATACAAGATTTTACATTATAGATGATTCCAATTTTAGAATATTTACAAAATTGTGATCAGTGGAGGAAAATGTTTTGGTAAATATGGATATTATTGTTCATTTTTTTTTTTTTTTATAGTTTTGAGAATATGCTGAATATTTATATGACTATTATTTGCTAAATCTTCAGGTTAAGCTCTTTGTTTGTGGGCTGCACATATTATAATGTGATGAAATGATAATTTTTATTTTTTTTTTGCATTTATTTTCCAGTTATTGTTTATTTCATCAATACACATGAATGTAAAAGGAGCTATGAAAAGGGTAATAACATTTGTTAGCAAATATTTCTATAATGTACAGACATTTGTACTGTTGATTCTTACTATTCAAAGCAATATCACTTAGCCTTCAAGGTAAATATGATTAATATAATAATATTATATATGTATAGATAATAGATAAACTGTATTGGTTTTGATTATTGCAAGTCCATAAAAAAAATGGAGCAGATAAACTGAAATTAAACACAAATACTGTCACATGTACACACAATTAAAATGAAAATGTGGCTACAATAGAAACCTTTGTATTGTGGTAGTGTTTCCATTTTAATGAATTTACTGCTTGAACAATGAAGTGAGAACCCTTAGTTCATGTTACGAAGAAAATTTATAGTGGTATTTGATTGGTAAAGCTAATGTGTAATTTAAATTGTTTATAGATATTTTCTTTATTTTTGCTTATGTAATAATACATATCAGAAACAGGACAAAAAAATCTCATTTGTAGCAAATCCTATTTTGACCAAATAGAAATAATTTTAGAAATGAAATAGTGCTATATGACCTTAGATGTCTAGCACATTTACTTCGCTTTTCTCCATTAACCATTTAGAAATGAAATAATGCTAACTTTGGATTTCTTTTTTTTGAAAATAATTGTTTTTACTATTTTCAATTGTTTTTACTTAGTAGACCAGTGGTTCTTATACTTTTTGTACTTTATAATACAGGAATTGATGGAATATTGTGTATAAAGTAAATAATACTCTAAATAATCTGTATATTATTGTCATGAAAAAAAACAAAAACTGGGCATTGATTGCAAAATCTTTATTTGGCAAATATAGTATTCACAATAACCAAACAATGAATATTATTATATTCATATATTATACATGCTAATCAGCTTGTATATTTTGCTTCCATAACTGAGAGCCTTTCTACAATGTGAAAATGGTCTATGGTACAATGTGCCTTCATATAAGAGATGCCAGCAAATGTAACAAAATTTGGCTAATGAAGCTACAGTAGAACTTTGTAACAGTGTGATATGGCAGGCAGCAGTCTTTTGCCGCAAAAGATGTAGCATCTGCTCTTTATACTCATGTCCCTAAAAACAGCAAATAAGATCCTAGTTAATCATAACAATCTGGCTACTGTTTCGTACAGGCATTCTTCTTGGACTTTGGGGGGGGGGAAAAAATAATTTAATAGTTAAAACAAAATAAACATTAATTGTCCACAACCCAGGCACCTTCAGTTGAAACCTTTAGCTTTGCTGATTAATAACTTGTATAACAACTTATCGCTATATTTTTTACTCTTTCATGTGCCATGAGCAAAATTTGGAAGCAGTTTTCTTTCTTTTTTTCACAGTTGACAAAACTTCACTGAAAGCATGTTATGTAATACTAAAATGAATAACAATATAACAGGATAACAACAATAGCTAGGCAACTAAATTAACAATTTTCTCTACAATATTTTAAAGCAACTAAACCTTCCGTAGTATTATTCTGAAAATATATTAATAATATACGGACCAGATCATAAATGAATATGCCATGAATAACCTATATTACTCAAAATATTGTCAATTTCTTTTCTCAATAATCTGTTAACCATTTCAGGTTGTAATTCTTAACTGTATCAAGAACAATCCATTTGTAAAGACCTGCTTATAAAATTTAACAACAGATGTGATTTGTAAGAGTGACCTAGTTTTGGGTACATTCCCAAGATTCTTGACCACCAGTTTACTAACTGAAAAAAATGTCCATATATACAGATATGAAAATCTCAGTAACCCACAAGGGTCGACATAATTCTTTATATCAATACATAACAATAGAAGCAAGGGGAAGGGCTGCACACATTGGAAAACAAAGTCTACCTTCTTTATACGTTGCTGTTGATTTGGTTAAGGAATGGAACAATTCAATTAAGTGAATGTGAAATAAATTTGATTTGTGTTAGAATAATATGATACATATTGATTTTCTGTTTAGAAAAGACTATTGTTTACTTCTTAAACCTGTGCTGTTTTTTGCTGAAAGATGATGTAATTCATTCAATTGTAATTCAGTTTTTGCTATGACATTACTTTATCAATATTCAGCACTTTATATAAGGTATATGAAGAAGCTGTTAATTATCATTAGACCTAAAAATCTCCCAAAATAATTCAGAAAATATATTTTAGAAAATAGTGTAAACGATTATGAAACTCAAACTAAATATTTATTCTTAGATTAGGCACTTTAGATTCTGTTCAGAAGTATAATTCTTCAAACAGATATTATGCTTTTTGTATAATCTAAGATTAAAGAAAATGTGTAACTATATACAAAAGTAGCCATGATATTCAAGTGGCAATAAATTGTTCACCAAAAAATATAAATTTCTATTTAATAGATATGCTGAAAAACAGCATGTTAAAGAAGGTAAACTTTATGATGTATAATGTGAGATAATCAAATAGGAGATTGAGCCATAATCAATTAAAGCAGTAGGCCCAAATTAGCTTGCCTTGAAGGAGCATGACATAAAGCTGCCTGTCTTGGATTTTTTTTTATCTTCTTCCTTAGTGAAAAAAAAGTAATGAATATAAAAACTATCCTTGCCATTACTAACTGATCTATTTTCTTAACTTGCGCAAAAATTTCTTATGTATTTGCTAGGGTGTGCAGATTTAAGTAGTGATTTTTAAACTGCTTCTTGTAAGAACTATTAAATTTTCTATTGAATCCTTTTCCTATGTGTATAAAGCATGAAATCTAACTAATTTTTTTTTTTTAGTTTTTTTTGTAGAATCCTCACTAGTATGTATCAAAGTGGCTGTTTATAAAATCCGCTAATATATATATATATATATTTTTAAACTGTATATATAGTCTATGATTATATATAACGTACTGTGAAAAGTGTGAAAGAATACAAGAAAATGTGGTGATGAAAGATTGTGATTTTTGAGAGTAATGGACATGAAAGACAAACGTAAGCCTTAACACATTTTTGTTAAAAGGTTTTCCTCCTGTGAGTATTATAAGCTGATTGTAACTTTTTACCACCACACCACGAGAAGGATGGCTTTTTGAAATTTGATGAGAACAGGAGCAAGATCTTTAGATCTCTGATACTTTTTATTTTACATCAATAAAATTTGATTGATTGTTTTGTATATGAGAGGAAATGACGATTATATGCATATACAATTCATGAACCCAAAATGTGCATAGACACATTGTTTGACCTTATGTAAACTGCAGTATTTGTACTGTAATGGAATACTGTATCTAGCACACTATTGATAATAGCCGTATTTTAAATTTTAAATATTTTTCAATAACAGCAATGTTACTGGAGCATTAATAAGATGGATTCAAGCAACCAAGACAAATTTTTAAAACAGAAATACTCTGCAAAACATACATAAAGGGATATTACCTATAAAACATCTTAAGAAATCATTACCATAACTTAAATATGTTTCAAAATATGTGGTAAATACTGTTTGAAAATCATGAAACTACTAACCAGTAAATAGTTTTGTTAAATATCATTACATAATAATAATCCCCAACTGAATAAGGGAAATACATAGTGATAAAAAATTAATTACCATTATTCACAGTGAATAGGACATTCAGTATCTAGAAAATGCATGGAATTTCACTGATATATGTATAGAGGTAGATTTATTCTAAGACAAATTAGTTGTTTTATTAAAGATAATTGTTGAAAATAACATTTCAGTCTAATGATCTAAATAAATAAAAACATACAAAGAAAAAATGACTCATCACTTACAACTGCTCAATCAAAAATAAATTTCAGCATGTCAATATTTAAATACATCAGTCTTGTAAAATACACACTATGAATTTATCCTGTACAATATCACAATACATATTATCATTTTGAAAAGACAAGTCTAAGAGATCTAGGAATAGTTTCAGTAAGATTTTTGACAGATGAATGTGAAAAAAAAAAAAGTTGAAGTGATCCATACCACATGCAAACAGACAGATGCACAAGCACGCGCATATGCACACACACTCGCACATGCAGACGCATACATGCATATGCACTCAAATGCGCGCACGCACGCGTGCACGCACCCACACGCGCACGCACCCACACGCTCACACACCCACACGCGCACGCACCCACCCACACACACGCATACACACGCACACGTACATGCCCACCCAAACACAGACATACATACCGTAATAACTTCGTATAGCATACATTATACGAAGTTATACGACACATGCAAACAGACAGATGCACAAGCACGCGCATATGCACACACACAAACACACACACACACACACACACACACACAGGCACGCACGCACGCACACATACGCACACACACGCATACACGCACACGTACATGCCCACCCAAACACAGACATACATACACACCCATATACTCATTTGCATGCACACCCAAACACACACACACACACACATGCACATTCAAATCAGTAAAAAATGCTGATGGAACATAAAGAAAGTAAATATTACCATGTAAATGAATATAAATAAGTTAGATTTCAATCCCATACAAGTTTTACAGCTTGGTGATGTTTGCCTACTAATTATTCTCTCAACTGCATATCTATCTCACTCTTCCAAAATGTCTACCTCTGTTATTGATCCATTTATTAATGTTATCAGACAGCTGTCATTATGTAACTGCTTGTTTGTCTTCTAAATGAGTGTATCAAAAGTACCATAATTAGAATTTGCTACTATGCCAAAATAACAAAGATCTGGATTTCCTTTTCCATGTCTTCGATATGAATTAGATTAATAATATTTATTTTTCATAGGGGTTTCATGAAGGCCAAAGTATGAAAATAATCTTTAAAGAAGTGATAAAACTTCCACAAACGTCTATTCTGTTAGATGTTTGGTGAGGATCGGTGCTAGAAAATCCATGATTTGAATTGTACTGGCAGCAAAGTTTCACATGAAAGGTAGACAAGGAATAGTACCATACTCAAAAATGAACATTATTACCTTCAAGGGTTTGCTTACTGGAAATGAACAATCTTGGCAACAGGAACCCTTTAGTGTTATTATGGTATTTGATACATTATGTTTTCTATAAAATGCAATGGCCTAAAGATAAAAAAGACAAAGAAAGAATTGACTAGCAATGTATGAATATACTTCATTATCTCCACGACTACACGGACTGATTGAGATGCAATGTTCTTTCACCGTAACAAATACCAGAAATTACTAATACTGTTTCCAAGACTAGTTTTTTTTTGTGTGTGATGAAGAGATCTAAATGATGAAATGACAAAGGAAACCAAACTCATAAGATAAAATTATGAAGGTTTAGTATCCCCTGTCAAAGATCATCTACTGATTAGATGCATTAATATTAAAACTAATATGAATATTTAATTGGACTTAAGCCAGCACCAAAAGTGACAAGATGTATTTTTTTCTGATCTATATCAGACTTAACTGTAAACACCTGAATATAAATATGAAAATGTTTTTTCATAGAATATTCATGATTAAACCCATCACCTTCATTACATCTTGTCAAAGTACTAGTGAGTACAGAATCTCATTTATGTAGAGTTCATATGTATATATATGTCATTTTGACATTAATGAACACACAAGCTTATCCCCACTCCAGAAGAGGAAAAACCTGTTAATTTATGACCAATACTACTCTCCTGTTTCATTCTTTAAACTATTCAGTGACTTTAAATTATATGCTAGTCATTGATAAGCCACTATGGGAAATCTATTATGTATATTACCAAGTGAAAATAGAAGAGAAATTAAGCTCCTATCTGTAGCTGATCCAGACTTATATTGACCTCTGGGTGAAGACTAAAGAGTTTGAGTGCTGTCCAAATATGTTTAGAGTGATACAGATGTCTCCAGCAAAATTCACAAGGTCAGTAAAGAAAATGAAGAGAACTGAGGGTCATGGCTTATTTAGAATCAAATCTTAATCTTACAAATTAAGCAATTATCACATAGAAAGCTCAGATACCTCATGTATGACAAGTGAAAGATTACTTTGCAAAAGAAGGTCTCAGTGCCTGAGGACCCTCTTGATTCATTGCTGCTTATTGTTCATAATCAAGTCTACTTTGTTGCAAGCAAGTAGGAAAACATGAAGTCAGAGAGAGATCTCATTCCCAATATTTTTCACGCTGACCTAGAATTCGTATACCAAAAGCTACTAAAAAAAAAAAACATTAGAATGATTCATATTTCTGAAAAAAGAGGGATATATTAGGTATAACTACACAAATGTAGTAGTGAGAAAAGATGGTAAAAAATAATGGATTTTCAAGTGCCCTGAGCAAGAAGCATTGTTTTCCTTTCTTGCACCATCATGAAGATGACGACTCCTCCATCGCTATGGTGGTGATGATCTCTGGCGGCAAGCATGCAGAGCCTTCAGTGGCGTGAAGCTCAATGCTCTCTGTCACCAATACAGGAGGCTCAAGGACGGGCAGGAGTGTGTATGATGATGAAGACGGCGCTGATGAATATGATGATGGCGGCGGGTAAGAATGGTGATGGCCAAAGAGAGAGTGTCTTGGGTAATGGTATTTGGAGTGGTGGTGCTGACTGCTGTTGTGGTGATTCACATCTGATGTGTGACTTAGTATGCTTGGGGGAGGAACTTGCAAGGATGTGGCCTCCTGAGCCACAGATGCAGAAATGGTTGGTATGACAAAGTTTGACACTTCATTCTCTTCACTGATAGTGGCCGGTTCCTCTTGAATTGTATGATCCTCTTCTGAGATCATTAGTGAATCACACTCAGTTACCATTGTACAGCACTCATCATCTGGGAAAAAAGGATAAATGAATTAAGTATCTTACTGATACACAACTTATTTATTAAAAATTTAATTTACTTAATAAAGTATGTATTACTATATATGAAACAATCACATTGATACTAAAGATGCTTTTCACTCATTACTTTACTAATGAAATTTTACTGGATAAAAGGTTCTTTGGATCATATAATCAACACTAATATGTCCTAAATAAAAAATAAAGAATATATAAAAAACACCAATAATAATGATAAAATAATAAATCCCTGCAGCAAAATATTTTACCTTGATAGGTAGAATCACAGTCATCGTCGATGTATGGGGCGGCCAAATGCTCTATCTGAACGACCTGTGGCACCTGAAGCAAGTCGGGTTCTTTCACTTCCAAGGAGTGTCGGGACGGCAGCGAGCTAGAGGTCATGGTGTATATGGTGACGAGGGAAAGGTTGAGAAAAGTTAATATACATGTTTATTGCATGGGAACATTTATCTTTTATTATTATTATTATTGTCTAACCAACCCATTTGACATTTTTAATGTATACGTGTAGATGTTTTGCACTAGATGATTTTTTTGTGAATTTGGCATGCATACCAACTTTTAACAACAGAAAAACATGATGAAAAAATGTAACATAAAGGGAATACATGTTCATAGTGCTTATCTTGGACAATAACATACTGTGATGGTATGTAAAATGTATATTTGTGTTCAGTTTAATGTATATCCATATGTTACTGCATATTACAAGCCTTTTGGTGAGGATGAAATAAATATAAGAAATTGTGGTGGACACACTATTAGATACAAATGGAATTAAGGGAAATTCATACCAGCAGAGAGAAAATGGGTTGTCATTCTGCCATGCAGGTTATAAAAAAGATGGAGAATATTTTGAGAGGAAATAGGAAACAAAATAATGTCAGACAAAATAGAGATCTGGAAATGGAGAGAGGAAAAGGTGGAAAGAGGAAGAGGGGAACAGAGAGAGTGAGAAAGTGAAAGAGAGATAGAGACAGACAGGCAAATATATAAATATATAACTAGAAAGAAGGGTAACTGAGACATGTGACATTGTGGGGAAAAAGGCGAGAGACCAAAAATAAGAAGGAAATGAAAGGAGAAAGCCTGGACATTGGAAATTATATGTATATAGAAGCCAAATCTGACTATGGATTTTTCCAAAGGAGAAAACATATGAAAGAAAATAGGGAAATGAGGACAAGGCTGAGCATACAAAGTGGTAAACAAGCATTATTGGTGAATAAACATACACAGTATTTAAAGAAAGTGCAATGTGGTATAAGACTGATTAATATACATTCCAACATTTCATAGTATTATTTATATTCTATCAATGCAGAAATACTACAAAAAAGTTGTAAGAAAGGGACTTTGAAGAATATAAAGGTAAGAGTTAATATATATATAATATCAAGGAGCACTTTAACATTCCATATGGTAAAAATCTATATGGAATTACCATTAGACAACCATTATATAAATGAAGATATAAGGAACTTTGGATGATACAGGTACCAGACCACTACTAAAGATACCCATTTTATGCCAAAAGAAAATGCATTAAGCAAATTGTACCACACTTCAAATGCCCACTCCAGACATTGATCCATAAGTCAAGGGGTAACCGTAACAAAAAAAAAAAAAAAAAAAAAAAAAAAAAAAAGGGTTCTAATATTTGGTCAAAACTTACTAATTGTAAACTTTCAAGCACTTTAGTCAATATGAAATTTGAAGTACTAATACCTTAAAGTAACCCGTTTTTTCATTCTCTGAGAGACATCAGAATAACCCCTGGTCATGGGTCTCTCAAAGTGCTTGCTTGTGGGGGTATTGGGTTCTGATGCCTGCTTATCCACCAGGATCGGCTTGGGCTTGAGAACCGATGTGTAGGGCGGAGGAGCACCTGGAACCTATAGAGTGAGATGGGTGAGAGGGTCACCTACACACCTAAGAGTGAGACTTGGAGCAGGGTGGCGGGTGATAAGGGGAGGTTTGCTGGTGGGAATTTGGTGTGTGGTTTAAATGATAATTATAAATATAATAACACACTACAGGCAATCTCTCAGAAGAATAAGAAAAATTCAGAGTATGGGCATTGTGCAGGAGTGTTGACTATCTTTCCTTCTAAAACCTTGGGGAGAAAACACTAGTCAGTAAATTTGGTAAAATCTGCAGTGTGGATTCAGAAGTGTCGGGCACATCACATGCAATTTTGGGGTTTTATATCATATAAGAGAGGGAATGAATTGTGTAGCTTACAGAAAGTTGCTCCTCTCAATCATACAGAAACTTCCATTAATGGATAAAAATAACTACAGTCTAACAAGGAAACTCAGTTATGTGGCAATACCTGTAAAAAAAAATGATGAAAAAAACTATGACAAAGCTAATTAAGGATAAACTACATTACTCATTTCTTTGTGCACTACAGAGCAATCTTTGGTAAAACAGGATTTCCATGGAGTGCTCTAGTGATCTGTATATAAAGTGTATGATCTATGTAAGTCCTCAACACACTCAGGTGTGAGGTATGAGACAACCTGAAACAAAGGGGAGATGCCAGTAAGGAAAGGCTATAGACCAGTGATTGCAAGTCAAGTTATCATCTTGGGGAGGAATGGTATAGGTACTAGTTTTTTTCCAGTTCATTGAAACCTTTTCCTACTATGCTTCCTGATAGGTCTACAATTTCTAAATATCAAAGAGTCCATTCATTTTACCTACAAATTCTGCATGGAAACCTTTTTTTTAATACAATATATAAGTTCTCTATGAAAAGAATGTTTGAATGAAGAGGTACAATGAGGGAGGAAGAGAGCATGAGAGTAGGGGAGAACGGGACTGAACAAGAGGGAACAGAAAGAGAATGAGAGAGAGAGAGAGAGAGAGAGAGAGAGAGAGAGAGAATGAGAGAGAGAGAGAGAATGAGAGAGAGAGAGAGAGAGAGAGAGAGAGAGAATGAGAGAGAGAGAGAG